AGATCCAATATGACTGTGTATCAGCCATATCGCAGAATTTAGCAACGGAAGATGCTTACCCGGACTGTGATTTTCAGCCCCCAACAAGCTGCGTGTGCTCCCTTGTAACTAAGGTGCCCACTGCCCCTTGGCCAGTGGTCTGCTGCTTCAAATAGAACCTCAGACAATCTCTTGGGACATATTCTCTGCTCTCCCCTGACCACTGTAGCTGTCAAGAGGAAGGTTTTTTTGAACACCAGAGGTTCTATATCATAACATCAGCAGTTCGTGGAGGAGTTCAAACTGGCCTGGACCAACAGTTCAGTGGAATCCATCAGGTTGGGCAGAGTCTACCCTTCAGTGACCTTGCACAGAGACTCGGGGTAGTGCATTGGAAGAGCAGCCAAGGGGAGGACTGTGGTGTGCTGACAGAGCCACACACAAAGCCACAATGCAAAACCCCAGAAACTCAACAATCACTGACCCTCTCTGCCCCAGAACCCTCTATTCAGCCCATCCATACCACTTCCGAAACACCATGGTTTTCATTCTTTCTCCATTTCATTGATGCTCAGAACTTTTCATCCATTTAGCTCTCCCCAAATCACTCCATCGCTGCCTTCTGAGCCTATGAAGTACCCACTGGCCATATCCTTGACTGTTCCTGCAAATTCCACCTTCTCTTACTCTCATGCTCAGCCAATGCAGCTGTCCTTGCAGCTCATGGTCCCTGGGATCCACCAGCATTCAGTGTGTTCCGTAAAAACAGCAGCTTACCAGGTAACTGGCAAAATTGATAAGGAATTACAGAGCCAACAATAACCCTCACTGTGCTCTAGTCTCAGCGATGTTTGGAGCAATATCATGATTGGTGCATATTCTCATGCAGCTCAAGAGGTGCTGGATATTATATGGCTGCGAATATCTCCCACCTGATGGACAGACATCATTCCCCAGAAGGATGTGGGGACCATGGCATATGCCCACTTCCCCCTCAGTTGTTCACAGAGCCTGGACTCCCATCCTGTTCAAATGCAAAGCTGCTGACACATGCCAGAAGGGTAAGAAGTCCTTCTAGAGGTTTAACATTGTAGAGAGAGGTCTAATCATCAGCTCTGCTTCCTTGAGGAGCTTCCCAGCAGGCAGGAAGGGGTTTTGCCTTGAGGGCACAGAACCAGTGACTGTCTCTCGGCAGCCTTCCTCACCTGCAGGTCAGGTTTGAGTTGTCTATGTAACATATTCAGGCTTTCATTTCAATCAGCTGTCTCATTCACACACACTATCTGCTTTAAAATATCAAGCCACTGTTCCTACAGACAGAGAATCACATATCTCATGCCAGTCTTCCAAGCCCTGTTCTAGGAGCTATGCATCCAAGGGTAAGAGAGAAGGCAGAAAGGGACTTCTGAAGATGGTGTAATAGTCTATGTGGGAAGAATAGCTGGGAGAGAGATTACAACCTCAGCTAACAAGCCCCTGTAGAGTGCTGAGGAGAAAAATCCAAGGGCAATGTAGTGAGGAGAAAGACATCTGGGGGATTGCAACTCAACAGTGCAGAACTGGTGGACAAGAAAGGAACAACAAAGAAAGTTCTCAACAGAAGGATAAAGCTGACTGCTGAGTGGGGAGGAATGCCAGCATTTCTTGCCCCAACAGGAAACAGCCCTTTGTATCTGCATGCTGGAAATAAACACACAAGCAGAATAAAGCCCTCTATACCCTGATGGAGAAAGGAGCAAAGGGAAGCCCTTCAGTGTGAGCTCGGTTCTCCTGTCTTCCCTCCCACCTCATGAAAAAGAACAGTCTGCACTGGGCAGAAGCTCTTGGCTACTACAGAAAAGGAAGCAGTTCTCTGCAGATAGCACATACTGAATTCCACCAATAGTTTCACATTTCCCATCTCATGAAGCTTCCCTGCCATACAGAACTCAGTCACTGCTGCTCATTTCCCCAGCTGACATGGACAGAAAATTGAGCAATTACCCTTAAACTCCTCTCTCTCAGATTGCCCAGATTGCTACATACAAAGCATTAAGGCCCCAATTGCCCCTGGCCAAAAGTGACTCAACTAGGCCTGTCCTTTAGGAATTAAACACTCTATGTTGCTTGCAGAGGTTTATTATTCCTCGAGTTGTGATGCATTAAATCCTGCTAAAGCAGGTTTCCCACCATGCAGAGGACCTGGCCCCCCGTGACAAAGTCTAGTGGGACACATACCCACCTAACAAAGGTGCATTATCCATTTGCTGTGCCTGCGTAGTAGTATGTACCAGCATGTGTTCACGAGGATGCTGTAAGAACCTAGCTAGCAACTAGACACTCCAGAGCTACTTTTGGAGAGACACTGCTCTTTTTCAAAACAGTCTTTCCAACTTGGGAGTTTTACAGGAGCAAATGGAGCTTTTAGTCAAACACAAGTCTTTGCTTTCCTACGACCCAATACTGGCACCTCTTTAAAGAGGCTCTCTTGTTTTGGACTAGCCTTTAATGAAAGAGAAATATAAAACAGAGAAAATGAATTCTGAGCATGACCTGAGCCAAGGTACTTCACTGCTAGTATCTCAGTGGTTTGTATTGTGCAGTATGAATGACTTGGCACCTTCTGGATTTCCCTATGCAACTGTAATGAATGGCTGAGACTCCAGATTGTTCCATGCATGTCTCTGTCTGGCTCACCCACTTACAATCTCCCATATTATTTCAGTCTTTCCACACAGCCTGAGAAGTGTTTGTCCTCTCCCAAACTCCCACAGAGGTGAGGAATCAGAGGTTATTTCATATACAGGCCAGGAGCACTGAAAGAATTCTACTTTTATTTCTGAAACTACAAGGCATATCAAGCCCAAAAGGCTCCACTTGGCTGTACAACCTTCCCTCTATTTTCCACGTGCCAAACTGTGCTCTCCCTAGGCCCTATGCTTTTTTAACACTTTGTCAAATGGACTCCAAATTCTGAGCCTCTGGGGGTTAGTGATGCATAAGCGATCACCACTGAGCACATTTCAAATTCACAAGAACACCTTTTTAAGGGCATATAGTTTTGTCCTTCATTCTTCTAATGAAAAGGTTGGATGGGGGACGAACAATGTTAATGGAATGGTACAGCTCAGCTTTCTAATAGGTTAAAGGAAGGCGATCCAAATGTATTGGTTGACAGCAGCAATCATTACACAACTGCGCCTGTTCATATTAAGGTGTACAAGCTAACACATTATGCAGCACAAAATAACCGTGACCCATCCTTGGGGATCCATACACCAATGTCTTGATTTTTGTATGTTTAGAATCTAAGCTTTACTGTTACAGTTAAGGACACAAACTCAAGTGCAATTCTGTACAAAGCAGAGGCTGATACAGCTCAATTTACTGCACAGACACGACCAGTGCATTGCTACTCTCTGCCTTCTTCACTAGGTAGTTAGTTGTATCTCTCTGCTTATTAAAAAAAAAGTAATTTTATTCAGGTTCTGCAGTTTATTTATTTGTCACTTCTCTTCACTACTCTCTTCACTGCAATTCCTGAGCCCACATGGAAAACTCCTCTCCAGGAACAGCTTGCTTAATCTCCCTGTAGAAATAGGACCACAAGCCTACAGTGCATGGATCCATTTAGGGATTTTCCATATGCAAATTAGACCCACAACCCAGCGTGTATCACTGTACCAGAAACTGTCTGGGTAGGAACCATATCAGATTAGTAGGCTCTTTCTTCTAACACACAGATTTAATCCAAAGCTGAACTCTAGTTTGCAAACAATCCAAATTCGACTGTTAACCATAGGTTAGGCACAGATAAAGAACTGAAGCATATTAGGATTCAACACGTCTTCAGACCACACTGTGCGTCAATTCTATTCTATCTTTATTACCCAAGGTCTTGGAGTGCTGAAAGTCACATGCTGCAAACAAACATTTGGCAAGCATTTTTATGCCTGGTTAGCAAAGACAGTTTTTATACTACGAGAACATGACCACAGTTCAACAAAAAGGACAGCACATATGCAAACAAAGAGCTGTTCAGAACAGACTATCAGCCTCAGTGACATACGCTGAAATTTAAGAAGCCCAAGAAAATTCCCATGGGGAAAATTTAGTCTGTTCTGAAGATGCCAGTGCTATAAAGGTGCCACTTCTGGCAATCATCTGTTGAAATGCTTAATCTGTCTGGAAGACCCAAATAAGTCTTCATTTAATCTCATTAACCATACTGATGTCTGATCCTTTGTGACTCCAGGTAATTCCTCTGATGCTTGATGATATTTTATAGATGCAACTTTTTATACACTGTATAAGATTCCTAGTCCTTGAAAACTGAGGTAGCTCCCAGGGACTTTAATGAATTTCTATGCTTGAAACAGTTATATAGTGCTTGTCTTGAAAATCATACTGTGGATTTTTCCTGAGATTTTTCTTGACTCATCCAGTCCTAGAAGAGCAGGTGATATACACTATAAAGAAAACTAGTGCTAAGTCAGGAGTCCAATAGATTTCACAGCAGCCTGTACAGGGATGGGTTGGGATTACCCACCGTTTCTTATGTTTAGTTTATCATCTATGATCTTGGGTTAGAGTAAACAGATTTTTTTAAATTAAAAATTCAATTATGACAGAGATCTCAGGAGAGTGGTGCAGGCACTTGTCTTGTTGGGAACAAGACAAGGATGTTGCATAAAACAGGAGAGAGGCTTTATGCAGAGCATACTATCACCTAACTTGGGACAGCAGTGAATTCTTTGCCCGCTCTTAACCTTTTATTGCGCTTTTAGCTCTCTTTTTGCCCCAGTCCACTATTTTCTTGTGGAGGTAATCACAGAGAGAAGTGTCCTCAACACTTTCCTTCTTTCCAAGGGTCTTTTATAATTGGATGGGGAGATGGAGAGACCTAAGCAACTTCCACATTTGTTTACCCTCAGAGTGGTTCGTTTCTTCGCAATTTCTTACAAGATGCCTCTGCTACTTTAGTGGAGAGCCCCCAGACATGCATGAAAGCACTTCTTGTAGTCAAGTATGTGATACCTTACCTCCTCCATCATCTGATGCCTCCAGGCTCTGCTGTCTGAGACGATGGCTGCAGCAAAACACATGGAAGACTTTCAATTGCAAACCCAGAAAAGCATCTTTTTGTGTCCCCTTCCTTCCCACCAATCCTCATGACCTGTCAAGGGGAGAGTTCCCAGATATGCTTAAACAGCAGACTGACCTTCCACACCCCTCATTGCTGGGCTCAGCAGAAATCTCAGCTTAAGCAACATGCCTTGTACCTAAGACAAACCTCTAGGCTGCAGTCAGTAGGGCCTGCAGTGGGTTTGGGAGGAAAGCAGTTTCTTTCTAATTTTCTTTCTTTCTGTTATATGGGAGTGACAGAGACATCACCTACTCCACATCCAGGGACTACAGAATGACCAGCCCTGCCCCATGCCAGGACACATGGCATGAATTCATGACACGCTCTGCGCACTTCCAAATTCTGGTCTTCACATTCTGGTGCTTAGTGGCACGTGCCCCTTCTCTGGGAGATCAAATATGAAAGTCATGGAAGAAGTCTCAGCAACAATGGAAACTTACTCTTCTACTTCTTCTGCATGCTTTCTTCCTGACCTGCAAGACAAGAAAGGCCTATGCTTAGAAAAGGCTAGAGAAAATTAAAAAATTGCATCTTTCCCTACATAATTTCCCTGTTATTCTGCAAAACAGTTTCCTGCACCAGGTCTGATATAACACACTGAGTGACCACTAAACCAGTGTTATCAAAAAGTCCCTGAGTACAATAGATTGATGAAAAACCATTTGGATCCTAAAAGACAGCCATGACCAAATACAGCAAGAATCACACTCCCTGGTTTTTTCGCTTCTCAGATACTTTTTCACCCCCTCTGCCATCAGTTGCAGGTAAAGCTTGCCTTACCTGAGTAGAGAGATTGATGCTTTAAGGAGTGAAAAAAGTGCTATATTTTGTCTACCTACAAGGAAGGTTCTACCTCCCCCTGGTTATACATAAAGATTTTCTGGTTGCCTTTTAGGTTAGAAGTCCCACCCGAGTTGGCCAAGTTCAGGTCAGACACGCAGTCACTGCGAAAAATCAGGGCTGATCTGGCTGAGTTAACAGCAGTTCATAATAACATGGCGGGGGAGGCACTGGCAATGGCAGCTCCCTTGCTCTCCACCCCAGCAAGCCCAGAAGTAATTCAGTCCCGATTAGGAACGCTTGTTCAATATTCAAAATGTAAAACATGGAGGTTGCTGAACCAGCACTTTGAAAAGTTAATTAAATGCCAGATTTCTTTTTAGCAGATACTCCATCACTCACTGATTGCTTTGGCCATTTTGGAGAGTGAAGTTTCATCTCTATGTGTTGGGAATAAATATTCTCCCCTCTGCTGAAGTCAGGGTGCTAGGATAAAGAATAAATGGGGCTCTCCCTACCACGTGCACTGTTCCAGGGCACACCAAGATGTAAGAGAAGTTGCTTCACTGCCTTGCACTCTTCCTTTCAAAGCAATTCTGGGACATGGGACAGCCCTCTCCTCATCTGCTCTCTGCTCTAGCAAGTCACGATCTTCATCAGCTCTCCTATGAATAATCTGTTCTTCTAAGAGCAAGGAGCAGGACACAGAGGATGTCTAGCTATAAGAAGAAGAGGTATAAGGAGAAGAAAGTCCTTTGTCTCCACTGCTCTCCCTGGAGCTTGCAGTCTGTAAGAAGTTAAAAATTACACTGAATCGGTGATCTGAGCCCAGTAATATCCACCACTATAATCAGAACTGCAGGACTGCGGGTGACATCTGCACTTGGGCTTTCAGCTGTATCTGCACCCTCTGTTCAGAGACAGAAATGCAATAGAGCTGGGGAGTTTAGGAAAGAGCTCTTCCAGAGAGGATGAACTGTTCAGCTCCATCCTTCTCCTCAGTGGTAGTACAAAGCACTTTTTGTGAACCCCCAACACTATGGAGAAAGAAGGAGATGGCTTCAGAGAGTCCACCACCAGCTCTCACTGGAGTTTAGACTCTGAAAGGACAGAGGTGGAAAGATGATGCAAGATTCTACTATCCCTTCCTTATGCCTTCACAGAACTGATTCCCACACACTGCCTTGCCCTCAATGAGCTGAAACATCCCAATTTATGGCATTGCACAGCCTTGCACAGTGTGATGATTTCCTGGGGGTTAAATCCAACCTTTTCTTAGCATGATTCCATTATTCTTGCTAATTGTCCAACCCCAAATAACACTCTTTTCCTCAGCACTCACACTTCTTACATCTTTACTCATCTCCTGTCTCCAGGCAGGAGTGAAACACACCACATGTTTATACTTCCCAGGAGAAGGTCACTCCTGCTATCCCTGTAAGCAACTTCTGTTTCTTTTTCCTAAGCTCCCTGTCATAACAGATATCCAGGTGGCCCACAGGGAAGGCAGTCATATGTTAGTCCTAGAGGCAGAGACTACTTCGCTCATGTTTTGAGACTTAAGCTTTCTCAACTTTTCCTTGTGTTAGGAAAGGACTTACTCAGGACAATAAACAAATACCTAATTATGAAACAGCTGCACTATATTGGAAAAAATAGTAATTTGGGGAACAAATTAATCAGATGGGAGGGGGGACAGTAGTGACTCCTATAATCCCAGAGCCCAGATGTTAGAACACTCTCCTGTCAAACAAAACCATTCCTTTTCTCTCTAGGGCAAGTAAAAGGCCCATGGTCAGCCCGCCCAGGAGAACATCTTTGTCCCTTTGCCACAGGGCCTGACGGTGGCAGTGGGTGATGCAAGTCTCTCGTGCTGACAGTCCTGTGGTTTATACAGAGCATTTAAATACCAATTACACTAGAGCAGGAATGAGAAATTACTTCTTCTGTTTAGGGGAGACATCTGCTTCCAGTCACCTGTACTAAATATGTTTGTTAATATATGAATTGGAATAGCATTATTTGATGAAACTGGCATTCCAAAGCAGCTGATAAGTTCACAAGTAGAAAACTATCCCAGAAATATAGTATGAAGCTTCTGGAGCACAGGAAGAAATTGCAGGTTTTACACTCCCTGTGGCCTTAATGATTGAGCTATTGAGCAAAAAAGATACCAGGCAGTCTACTATTTCCCTAATTTTTTATAAGGTTTCTTTTCATTTTGCTTGATGCCAAATTACTTTTTAATTCCTTGTTTTGGATTGGGGAAGAAAAAAATCACATTTTTCATTTGTTCCTGACTAGTCTTTTGCTTTTTTGGCCAAATTGCAATACCTAAATTTACCTAACAAAGCGACTCTGAGAGAAAAGACAAGCTTTGTCTTGTGTCCTAAGGTTAAAAACCTTGAAGGCAATAAAAGAAATCATTCAGTCTTCAAAAGGTGCCCCTACTCCAACTATGTCCATTCCATAAACTTAGCTGAGGGCTAAGCTATACATGGAGATAGTATTCCTGCAGAGCCAGTCACCTGCTTGTCTCTTTGCTCTCCAGGTACTACATGAAGCCTCACAAGATTTCTTCATGAAGCCATCGCATTGCTTTAAGCACTGTGAGCAACTCTTCCTGACAACACTTTCAGCTCACCAGTGCCAATTGCAACACATTGAGACCAACATTTCATCCTTCAGGAATATCAGGCCTGGGTACACAGCACCCTCTTCATTCACCTCGTGGTCACAGCTTTCTAGTGATGAGTGAAAGCAGACATGGAATGAACCCAACTGCAAACTCAAACCAGCATATACAGATTTCCTACTCCTTTCTCATGTTCTCAGCAACACAAAGTGCACTGCCCTCCTTTGCTGCAGCAGCAGGCACAGCGTAGGGAGGGCAGCAACAAGCACCTACAAAATGAGCAACTGAATATGAACTACAGATACACTCACTCAAGTAAGGACAAACAAACCAGTATAATCCCAGGAGCAGTGCTCAGAAACGCATTCAGTCAGTATTATATACCAGCCATCCCCAGCTTTTGTGAGGCAGCGATACCATTCATTCCTTCTCATAAATGCATTTTTCTGAAGTGCCAAAGAACATGGACCAACTTTATCACCTGGACAGATCCGTTTAACCTCCCTTTCCCTGTAAGACTGTCAGTGCTCCCAAACATAACCATAATCCAAGAATATTCCCTACAGTTTTGGCCAACTGTTTACCCCCTCTCTATTTCAGGGTGTTGAATAGTTTGTAAACTGGGTGGAAGATCCTGAAAGACCCCCTTGTAACCCCATGGTATGTAACTCATAGTACAGAATACCTATTACTCTCTTAACTATGTCTGGGGGTAGAAGATACAGATCTGCTCTCACTCTTGAGAGTGGTCTTTGTTCAGTTCTGGCCAGGAGGAGTCCTTCCTCCACATTAATTGGAAGGGGTTAAACCTCAAACCCAAGGCTTTACCCCCACGCACACCCCTAATGTATAGCTGAGCTGCTTTGGAGCTACCTGCAACTTCAATGCTGAAGGGTGAAAGGCAGTTCTAATGTAGACATAATCTCTGTTAAACTGTTTCTTTCTCATTTAATGGACTACCACGGAGATCTAAATGGAGATAAAGTAGCAGGGCTCAGAGAACAGCCAGGATGCTATCTTTATGCAGTATGACAGTGTGCAGTGGTTAATTAGACACCGTTAACCTATTTTAGCAGAGGACATAACTGGGATGAACGGGGGGAAATGTCCTTGAAATCTTTTAATGTCCACAGCTCATGAGAGCTTCAGACACACTTGAGTCCTACACCGAGCCACCGCCAGGCTTCTAGGAGGTCACTGCGCTGGATCCGAGGCTCTCTGCCGCGGCCCAGGAGGTGCGAGGGCGGGCAGCGCAGCTAAGGAGAAGGGAAGCACTTATGACAGCTTGTTAAAACGAACACGGGGGCGGCTGGGCAGGGACACCCGGTACAGCGCGGCGGAGCAGCAGACAGAGCGGGAGCTCGGGCAGCCCCGGCCGGCCCGGCGCTCCCTCCCGGCCCGGCGCGCCCCGCCCCGCCCCGCGGCCGAGCCCGCGCTCCCCGGGCCCGCTACCGGCCCGCGACCGCCCTCTGCCGGGCACCGCGCGGAGGCCGGGCCCGCCGCCGCCAGCGCCGAGCGAGCCGAGCGCCGCGGCCGGGGTGTCACCGACTGACAGCGAGCCGTCACAGCCGCCACCTGCCACCTGCCGGCTGTCCCGGGCCGGGACAGACCCCCGCAGGGGCCGCGAGTCCATACCCAGGGGCATTTCCGTCATTTTACAGGGCAGCGAGGGGAGAAATTCATCTGCCCGTGTGTGTGTATGTTTCCTGGCATGTCTCAACCAACTTCTCTTATGAATCACACGGAATCAGAAGGCCTCTCCAAGCACCCCTCTTGCTAAAAGAATGAAATGGGGGGGAAATGATGTGATGTTCAGAGATACATTTTGTTTGGAGAGAGCACGGCGATCAAAGTGCGGGCAGAGATGGGCTGGGTGCGTGGAAAGTGAGTCACCAGCCAGCATTCTGCCTCGTGCTTCCATCCAGAACCATACCCAGTTCAATGCTTGAATCAGCCTGCAGGGACCCACGAAGCCTTTTGCCTCTAGCACAAAGACTGTAATTCAGGCCTAGGCCTGAGGGAGGACGGGAAAAAAAGATTACAAAGGACATTGTACTC